CGGAGGAGCAGCGCGATGGAGATCCCACCCACACCAACCTGTTAGAAAAACCAGCACCGAGAGCTGCGGGGCAGGGTCATGCTTTCATTTATTCACTTCATTATAAAAATCTCTTAAGAATGCATCTGAACACAATATATAATACTATAACATACATTGTGTGAAACTTTTGGAAACAATAAAATAACCACCTGGAACAACGCAGTGTTCAACAGACACACAAACCCATTGATCATGCACGACTGTGCTATTTTCATTAACGAGTCACGAGTTGGACCAAGAGCTTGAAACATATTTTACAAACTGAGATTGACACCGCTCACGATGCCGGACAAGCTTTGTCAGAAGAAGTTTTCACAGCACAATTATTACATCGGTTCACATTTTTTTGTCCTAAGAGATTCACATTGGGTTGTTCAGAAATTGGAACGTGACGTTTAAAAAGCCAGCCCGTTCGCGGGGGGGGTTCTTTCATTTTTTCGGTTCCCCCCTCCCCTCTAGGTTTTCAGCTCTTCCAACTGCTCGCCTGCTGCTAAACCCGGGGTCCCGTTGTCGTTGTTCCCCCACACCGGGCTCATCACGAAGACGAACCCCCCCACGGGCGGCTGCCACCCAAATGCCCTTCCTGGGTTGCGTCTGTCTCCTCAGCTATGTTCAGGTTCTTGTATTTTATGCAATACAAAAGGTTACGAGAAAAAAAGGCAACTCTTATTCCGAGTCTTCTACACAATTAACGTCGCCGCCGACAAGGCGATGTTAATTCATATAAATTAATAACTTACAAAACATTACAGTATATACATTACATAATAAATACACTGTTATAAACAGTAATGGAGGTGTTAGAGCTCAAGGCAGTGCAGGAGGATGAGGAGGACGGTGGATCTAAACCTAGGAAAACGTGAACGAGGGGAACACAAATACCCGAGCGTGCAAATTCCACTGAGCCAAGGAGCTGCTGAGGGGGAACGCGCGTCACGCGCCGCCTTATCGCGCTGACTTAGAGATGTGCCGTCGAAACAAACTACCCTCTGTCCTGCGCATGGCAAAAATCAAACCCCGGTGAGGGGAAAAAAGAATAAAAGATAAAAAATACCGTTATTCCTAGCAATCGAACAGAGATGGTGCACGACGCGTGAATGACTTTTAAAACGGGTCGCCCTGGGGTATTGAGAAGACGATTAAAGGTGCAGTAACGCAAAAAAAAAACCACCAAGCCCAAACAGAAGGTTTTCCCTTCCGTTTAGTCTGTAAAAGTGAGTAACTGCAATAAAGTGACAGGTATTGCCAGTGAAAAAAAGGAAGACTGCTTCTTGTAACAGGAAGAATCAAAAAAGTATCCGTCAATTCTGAAACACTTTTGTGTCACTTTTTTTTTTTTTTGTACTGAACTCCCGTGTTTTTAATTAACAGACTCTTGAAAAGACATGAAAGTGTTTACAAAGAAGGCACACAGGTCTGCAGACAGGTGGTCAGGTGGACAGGTTTTACATGGAGAGTTATTAATCAGTAGTTTCTATCAGTCTAACTGGTATAAATTCCAAAACTAACAGTATAAAATCTCTCAGTTGTGTGTCATTTACTCTTCAGCCATGACCCAAGCCAGCTCCAGGCCAACCCCACCCTCCGAGCCGGCGAGGCTTTAAACCACAACATAAATCACCTGTTTATTTTCCTGAGCAATCAATTCACTACACGATCTTTTCACCTTGATTCCAATCTATCTCAAGTAGCTGGGAAGGTCTTTCGGCCGATGTTAGACACGGGCTTCAGACCCCAGGCTGCAGGCTAGCCCGTGAGACCGCTTGCATGCTCATTAAGCGCTGAAAATCCACTCACACAGCTACAGGACATTATGTGTCGACGGGAGACGTATCTTCTGTCACAATTTCTATGCTCGCCTCCCTCTGTGCGTCCTCTTCTCCCGGGGCGGCCACGTGGAGTGTCTGTGTATTGCTTAGGTAGCCGATGCTCTCGCCGTCCTTCTCCGGCCCGTCCGAATCCTCCTCCTCCAGTGTCAGTTCAAACTGGAATTTCTCCATCAGGCTCTGACAGTCCTGGCCTCGCTCCTCCAGTGGAGGGGATGGGCTCTGAGGTATCATGCTCTGGTACCAGTTCCTGTTGTCCTCCAGCGTGTCCAGGATGTCCTGGGCGTCGGGCTGCACCAGGTCAGCCCACGTCTCCCAGAGTGGATGGACGATGTAGTCAATGAATCCCACCTGAGAAACACACAAACGTGCACACTTAGGGCAAGGCAACGGGGTGTCTACAAAGCTTCAATGACGGTAATACGTTGGTTTTATAATGCCCGACCAAGAGCGAGCCCCCACACCAGCACGATCTAATTGCAGACGTAACCATCTGACACCCAGAGCTGCGCCTACAACGCCAGGCTAGGCTGACGTCTTGTCCAAAAATCAGACCTTGGAGGGAAGTTTAATTAAAGCAGGAGCCACCGGGAAACTTGGCGGCGGAGCTGCCAGTCCCATCGCCGGTCATGCGTGTGATTTGAAATATCTCTGCAGATGTTCTCACCTAGTAGACCTTATAAGGAGTGATTATAGACCTTATGAGGTCTATAATTGAGGGAGCTGGGTCAGTTCAGTCTGGCAAAGAGGAGGCTGAGGGGGGATCTCATCATGCTCTACAATTACTTGAAAGGACATTGTAGAGAGGTTGGTGCTGGTCTCTTCTCACAGGTAATTAGGGACAGAACCAGGGGGAATGGTTGCAAGTTGCAAAAGGGCAAGTTTAGGCTGGACATTAGGAAGAAATTCTTGACAGAAAGAGTGGTCAGACACTGGAATAGACTGCCTAGGGAGGTGGTTGAGTTGCCATCCCTGGATGCGTTCAAGTGTCGCTTAGATGTTGTGTTGGGTGATATGGTTTAGGGGTGACCTTGTAGTGAGGGTTAATGGTTGGACTTGATGATCCCAAGGGTCTTTTCCAACCTGAATTGTTCTATGATTCTATGAGATCAACCCCTGCCCTGCAGATGTTGGAGTAAATCCCTAGGGCAGAACATCCTGCCAAGGGACGCCTCCATCAGCTGTTGGGGCGCAGATGTGTTTTAGGTGAGCAGCCCTTTTACCTCGAGCACAGAGCAAGTTTGCCGTGCCTTCGGCGTTATTTTACTATGGCGAGTAGTTTGCACCTATTCCCAACTGCTTCATCCCAGCAAAGGCTCCTCCCAAATGCAGGCAGACAGACTGACACGCCAGCGGTGGAAACCGTGAGGCTCGCGGCTGAGCCCATCAGTCCTTCTGCCGACTGGCGCATTAAAACCTCTGAGCTCAATCATTTTATTTTATTTTTTCAATTGTCTGAATAAGAGGACGTACGTCCAGGATGGAGAAAACGGAACGGCCATAAAGAGGATTGAAATTCTTCCGTCTTGGCAAAACGTGTGGCTTCTCGTTCGGCTGGACAACGTTTCTGTGCGGCAGGAAAATGGCTCTTGGAGGGGGCCAGGCTCAATGCGCAGATGTTTGCTTTGGAAGCCACACATGCCTCCTTCAGACACAACAGGATGTCAATAGAACCATTAACATTCAATTGTAACATAGTGGTGAGGCAGCTCAAACAAAAAGGTGATGAACATTTCCTGCAGCATATGTTCCGGAGCGCTTTCAAAGGAGGGAGAAAAAAGTAAAATAAAATCCTGTATGGGTAAGCTGATGGCTTCACCACCACTCAAACCCATCCGGTGCCGCTGGCTAGAGATCAGGCCATCGCAACCAGGTCGCTGTTGCTTTAAACAAACATCCTAAATCGTGGAATAGCTGGCCAGATGGCTCAGCACCAAAATATTTCGGTGGAAAGCTCCGCATTTTGAGCTAGAGCTTCGAAATATGCGCACGCTCTTTCCCAATCAGTTCCTCGGTTCATTCCGCAACGGGCTCGCCACCCCCCTTTCTCCTTTGCCCTTCATCAGGACTTCAAGGGCAGCCGTTTCGTGCAATTCCCCTTCCTTTTTTTGCAAAAAAAACCCTGCCGTTTTGAAACCTCCGTGAAGCGCATACGCGAAACAAACAGAAAAAAAATTAATTGGAGCTCACATGCGGAGCACATGCGCATTTTCCGGCCAAGCCTGGCCAAAGGATTCATTTCTTGTTAGGTTAACGAATAAGACAGATTTTTCCAACAAAATCACCATGCGGTTGAGTGAATAATTTTGAAACCACTTGGCTTAGCCCAAGAGGACATTTGGAAATAATTATCATCAATTTTGTTACTTATTCAAGCTGAAAAAACCTTGATGATGACTTGCTCGAGTCATTTAAAAACAACAACCAAGACACCATTATATAAAGATCAGAAAACGTTGAGGCAAACAGAAATCACCGCCCTCATTGCGGACTAACCGGGTGAAATTTTACGGCCTGTGCTACGCAGGTCAGAAGAAAAATCTGACCTCCAAACTGTTTAACCCATGAATCATAACTAGGGATGAGCCAGTTAAGAAAAAACGAAAAAAAAAATATATATATGCAGCTCCTTTTAAGGTTTCTATTGACATAACCAAGGATTTCTTTGACTTCACCTGGCGGCTCCATCCGACCTCGAACATAACCAGCTGCAAAATTGTTCTGCACGAGCCTGAGCAACGGTTGACACAATGTCGGGAGGTTTAGGAGGTGCTAATTAAGGAGGCTGGAGGTCAAGAAGGCAGAACAAGAGCTGGCAGAGGGCAGTGCGCATCGGGATTGCGCTTCTCGAGCCCCAGGAAAGGAAGGGAAGCGACTCGCTCAGCAAACTGGGGCACTAACAGGGCGAGATGAAGACGCGTTTGGAAACGGGGAGCGGCACCGAGGGTCAAGGAAAGGAGGCTGCAGGGCCTTGCCAGCCTCTGCGAGCTCCAGGCACAGCTGGATGTCAGGGTCGATCAGCACCAACCCTCTGAACCCCTGGCTCCTTGCCTAATTGCGCTCAAGTAAGCAGATGAATTTTGTCTCTGCTTTAAAACCACGAGCTTAGGTGGTACAAAAAAACCCCACAAATGCAGGTCACAGCCAAATTACCTGTGATTTTTCCACTGACGCCGTGTGTTTGTCGCACATGGGGCTGATTTCCATCCCTCTTTCTCGCTCTTTGTCTCCCTGCTGGAAGAATTCCTCCATGATCCTGTCCGTCCACTGCCGGTACAGCTCCAGAGACTTGGTGGGATTGCTCAAGTCCGCGCAATGGACCATATTTCGGAGAACCTGCAATGGCATCGATCAGAAAGCTCATAGAATCAAACGGAAAATTAAAAAAAAAAAAAAGATGACGGCTTCACGCTTGATTCAGAACATCCAACCACGAGACTCTTTGATTATGCAACATAAAAATATCAACACCGTAACATCTCCGTGTAGGAGACTTTGCTTCGAAAAGCAAAACGTGATCTTTTTAGACCGCACGGGGTACACTTGCATGGTAACGTTAATGACATCATACACGTTTTTGAATGCAGGTGCTTCCCACCACTCAAACCTTCTTCCCGTGGTTAAATGGGAAGATGGTCAAATGCTCCTGCTCCACCAAACGAGCAACATCCCTTCCGCACGCACCCGAAATGTGCCTGGCAAACTCAAGGATGTAGACAGCGATGGAGCGACCTGTTTTAAAATCAGCAGTCTTAAATAAAAATGCAAGGAGAGTTTTCCCATGAGTCAGTTCTTCTGGCCATCAAAGTGGAGAGGAGATCAGGATGTACCTTGTCCTACTAACTACGTGACCCTCTCCCAGCCCTGCTTTGTCATTTCTGCAAATCGCGGATTAGATTATACAGGGAACAGACTGTATGTACATCACTCATTGCAGCTCAGCGTGAGAGACGCTTTATGTATGGAGCTACAATTTAAATTCTTGCCATCTCGCCACGCTTTTGGCAAATGGGAGAAAGCAGCAAGGAAATTCAGGAGCCTTCAAAAACTCAGCCGTATAGATTAACTTCAAAAGGAAGTCAGTGTTTGCAGTTCGATGCTCTGAGCGTTAAAAACATAATCCTCCTTTAGCTCAAACAGATGGGACCACTTTGTACCTCTTGGCGGCGCAGACTGCCAACGATTTACGCCAGCAGCTTCTACACACAGACCACTGAAACACCAGGTAAAAGCAGGAGCAAGAGAGACAGGGAACTGCTGGAGAGAGTCCAGGGCAGCCACAGGGATGATGGAGGGATGGAACATCTCCCTGGTGAGGAAAGGCTGAAGGAGCTGGGGCTCTGCAGCTTGGGGAAGAGGAGCCTGGGGGGTGACCTCATAAATGTTTATAAATACGTCAAGGGGGAGTGTCAGGAGGACGGAGCCAGGCTCTTCTCAGCAGCGTTCAATGACAGGACAAGGCGCAATCGGTACAAGCTGGAGCACAGGAGGTTCCACAAAAATATTAGAAAAAACTTTTTCCCTGTGCGGGTGCCGGAGCCCTGGCCCGGGCTGCCCAGAGAGGGTGTGGAGTCTCTGGCTCTGGAGACTTTCAAACCCGCCTGGACACGTTCTTGTGTGGCTGCCCTGGGTGACCCTGCTCTGGCAGGGAGGTTGGCCAAGATCATCTCCAGAGGTCCCTTTCAACTCCCAACATTCTGTGATTATGTGTGATTCCTTCAAACCTGAACAAAACACCCCAAATCCAGGGCGCCGTGTCGCCGTACCTGTATTCTGTCCGTGTAGTTGTCCAGAAGGAGGACTCCTGAGCTGGTCACTTTCTTTGTTTCCACCATAGTCTTCAGATCAGCCAAGAGGCTCATATGCTTGGACATATCTGTCGCCAACACCTTGATGGGAGCGCAAACAGGATGTCAGGCAGGGCAACCACACAAAGCCGCCAGTTTTTTGGTTTAAGAGGAGGAGAAGAACTCATACCATGTCGATCACCATCTTCCTGAGCGTCTGACGCTGTTTCTTGGTCAGGTTCTGGAAGATGTCGCAGTGCTCCTCTTGAAGCAGCTTGAAACCCACAGCGAGGTGGTGGTTCTCCAAGACGGATTCGTCGTTGTACATGAGGGCTAGCTCGGAATCTGGCAAAGCAAGACGAGTACATGAGCCTCGCGTGCGAAGCGTGTGATTTCGAACTGCGCACGCTTGCCCTGGGTACCGAAATGTTTATCTCCGTGCAATAAATTGGGAAAAGTTTCTGTTCTTTTTTTTGGGTCACGTGTGCCAAGAGCGTGCAGTTTTCTAATCTGAGCACATGTGTATGTAATATAAACAGCCTTTTGCTCGGTTCTAATGAGCAAAATAGTCCTCAGCTGACTTAGTTATGGGCTTTGGAATCACTGACAACAGAAAGCATGAATCCCGCAAACATACTTTCAAAAAAAGAACAATACCCACAATCTGGAATCAAAGATACATGCTTAGTCCGTTGCAGAACACAATATGAGCCACAATATTTAGCCTTATTGTTGTCAATGGCAATAGCATTATTTATCTTATTTTGATGATAAAATTTGCTGGAAGAATTGCCATGGGTTAGCAAGCGGTCGCATTCGCAAGATGCAAGGGTGCTTTGCAAATTGTGCCACAATTGCTTTCCTTTGTCAGGAATTTCATTTTAATTATTGCTCTATTTCAAAACGTCTAACTAGTTTACTGCACAATACTTGGAGAAAGCAGTGCAGTCTGAAAGCCATAATTTGTGACCTCGCTGTAATGGAAAACGCACTGCCGCTAGCTTCCAAACTCGCAGACGAAGTTATTATTGTATTTGCAGCACAACTCACTTGTATTAATAAGGAATTGATTGGAGACCCCAGGGTGATCCACATCGTGAATTGCAGCCGCAAAAATCGCAGCGAGGATTTCCAAATCTGTGAAGACAGCCTAGGAAAGAAGAGAAAAAAGGCATCTGTTGGAAAACTCCTCACGTTTTCTCTCCCAGCAGTTTGGGAGGCTGATGTAGAGGAACAAATTGTGCTTTTCCAATTAGCTCTCTGAGGATGAGGCAAGGTCTGCAAGCAGCATGCGCTCTTTAGGACGAAACATGAGGTTATGGACAGGCAAACTCACATCCAGGGCCGGGGTGGAGAGCAGGACGTGCGTGGACTGGGCGACATCGGCGGCGTGGAGGCTGTTGTGGTACGCCACGTCCGAGTGGTAGTGGTCTTCCAGAGTCATCATGTAGGTGACAAACGTGTCGGATGAGATCTTGAATGTTTTCAGCAGATCTCGCTCCTGTGTAGTAAGAAAAGAGGAAGAGCACACGTGAGTAATGTCAAACGAGGACGTCGCGCTGTAGGAGGGGACAAACCATCAACTGAAATAACAAAAGAACAGCAAATCCTATCAGGAAGAGTACGAACCTGAAATATCGCGTACATGATGCAGGTGAGTGGCCTGTTGTGGGAATACCTCGCGACATTAAATATGTTGAGGCCCCACTTATTCAGATCTTCCAGTTCCTTTCGAAAGGACAAAAAAAAAAAAAGAAAAGAGAAGGGTTACAACATTTTTCAGGGCGATTCTGCATTTTGATGCTTGTGCTAGCTCTTCCAGAATCTTCAAAAATTCAATCTTTGTTGTGGCAATTTCGTAAGCGCACAAACATGTGTAATTAATAAAGCACACAAATACAGAGTGACTGTGAAGGGCTGAAGCCAAAGCACTGGTACAAGGAGAGGAGATCTCTGTGTGGCAGGGGAATTACCCCAGAGGGGTGTTTCCAGGGAGCAAGAAGAAATGCTCTGACAGAGAGTGATCATTTGGTGGCCACAGCACTGTTATACACTCCTGTGTTTGATAACTGCTTTCCTCAGCCTTCATCACTTCTTTTTTTATTATTATTTTAGGAATTTATGACCACAGAAGATGCTGTAAGGGGCTGGTACCATTAATTGCAGCGTTTGCAACGGGTACATCCCTTCAGGAATCCGGATTCCAGTTTTGCAAAGTGGGCAGAGGGGATGGCAATCCATCCAACCAGTCCATCCAACCAGTCCATCCCCAGCTTCCAAACAGATAACACCAATTCTCCCAGAGCTGCAAGACTCTGACGTACCTTGGCCAGGTGGTCTTCCTTTTCTGTTTTCACCCCAAACCGTGAAATGCTGGTGTTATTTAAGCTTGAGCTATGCATTAATTTTTTCACTCCGCTGATCTGTGTCATAAGCTGCTGTTTTTTCTTCTTCTCTCTGTCTTTCTGGGTAGGAGAAGGAATCTCCACGTCATTCTGCTTGTCTGTAAAAACAAACAAAAAAACCCCAAAGCTGAAAAGACTCAGCATTGTTTGCACCCATCACGCACCCCAGAGCCAACCCTTGGCTGGCCAGTTCAAACCCACGTTGTTTCTACTGCAGGCTTTCTCTAAATTGGGGACAGAACTGAGCCGAAATCGAAGCAAAACAGTCACATAACCTCTGTCTGCCCTCTGCAAGACTGAACTGTGCCCCCGAGCCCTGCTCAGCACAGGGCTCCTTCTATTGTGTCCAAGCTGCAGGACACAGCACACGTCCAGGAGCTCCTCACCCTCTATGCCTGAAGGGCAAGTTCTGCTTATGGCTCGATCCCAACTTATTTTCCTTGCCTGTTTGCAGGGATATATAATATATATTCAAACAACACATTTTTTCCTCAATGAAATACATAAGCATATATTTTCACATTCACTCTACTGACACTTATTAGGGCTGAACCCACCCCCGTACCCACTCCTCTTAAAACACCAACCCGGTAACAAATCAGCGTCACTGATTTATTAAAGGTTTGTCCTTTACAAAGACGTATAGAATGACATACAGTGCACAGGCCAGATCTCGTGCTCAGAAATACTAATGGTATTAAGCGCACATTAAGCAAGCATGTAGCGGGGCACAAGTGAGATGTATTTAATAAATAAATTTATCCACAAATGCTACCCGCTGCCTTCACAGCTGATTTATTTGCTGAGTTAAAACGGAGATACGGTGGCTCATTACTCTCACAGTAACCATTTCTCCATTAACTTTTAGAAAAGGCTACTGTAATCTCTTTGCACCTTGGCATCTCTGAGGACCTCTGGAAGGACTAGGTATTTAGGCATTAGTTACTTTTGCCTTGGCTTAATTAAAAATCTCTTAAAAAAGAACTACCCGTGTGTCTGCAACACCGCAATTAAGAAGGAAGCCATTATTCATGGCAACAGTCAAGCTGACATCAATGGGTGTCTCCCTTGTGTGTTTTTGCTGAACAGAAGGGCTTTCCTCCGTATAATCTCCTTAGCAATGACTAACATTAAGGCAGCGTAAAATGGATATTCTCAAAGAGCAACCTCTAATTTGTTAAATCATGTCCCCACGGTGGTGGCGGCACCAACACCCCTCACCCCTTAGGAAAGGGCGTGTCCTGAAAGGCCACCAGGATCTTCTCCATTCACAAGACACGGCCAATGATTCCAAGACGTGGCCAAGGATAAAACCACCCGTTTTCATCTGAGTCATTCCCACAGATCTCAAGTCGTTGTGTCCTTGCTCTTCGTGACCAAGTGGTGACTGCAGGACTGTCCCCCTGTGCAGAGGACATCGCTTTGCAGCTTGTTCAATAAAGTCAAGAGACTGAAGGGAGTCACACGATCTGGTTTTAACACCTGTACGTGATCCTCATCTAAGCAACTCTCTTTGGAGCTAACGCAGCATTTGCACCAGGGGAGGTTTAGATTGAACATTAGGAAAAATTTCTTTACTGGAAGAG